ATTCCTCCAACAAAGGAAGCTGTTGGACCAGGGCTTTCCAAATGAAAGTGACTGATAGTCCAAGAAGAAAGAAATAGAAAAGGCAAATATGAAGGGAAAAAACCCACAAATCTTTCCATGTAGGCTCCTTTCCTGAGGGTTACTGATATTCCTTCTGTCTCATTGAATATCTGTAAGGGAAGGTGACCATTTCCCTCTATGGCACTGCCTGGCCCCAGAGATGAAGTTCTTGACAGCAGAGCTAAAAGACTCATCTGTGTTCCTTCTTCAGCCCTCATAGTTCACCATCTTGCCCCAGAGTTTATTCTACTTCAGTGAAAACTGAGCCATCAGAAATTTGCATTTAGTGGTTTCCCTCTAGCCACGACTTCTCTTCAATATGTGAAGAAAATATTGAGCTAGCAAAATTTTTTTCAGGGAGTTAGGGCAATTTTTTTGCCCCCGCAGAGGCATGCTGGGGTCTTGAGCTCCAGAACTGTTTTCCATGCTGCCAGTGCATACATTTCATTCCACTCTTCTGCTACATGTAGGGCTGCTCCTCTACTAATTTGCAGCTATGCCAAATCAATGTCCAGAGATCTCACCATAGATGAAGTCTGACATCTAGCGAGGATGTCAAAGCCTTCCCTGAAACCCTAAAGCTGTCTATAAGCCCAGGCCTAATAAGTCTCCTCCCTTTTCCCCCAACATTTAAATGGTGAACCTGAACATGTATGGGCTTTGGTTTTCTATTTTCTTTTTTGTTTCCTTAAAGACTAACTTTGCAATCACTAAGCACTTTATGTAGTGATCAAACTTCTGTTCACATTTACATAGGCTAAGCAAAACAAAATATTACGATTTCTAAAGTCCATAGCATTACAAGGGATTGCAGGTCTAATAGGGTCTGAGTTGGGGGAAAAGGGAAACACTACTTGTGCATCTCTTTGTAGGCCATATTAACCCTTTCTCTTATTCTGAAAAGCATGACCAAATCCACATTGGCTGGATATGGTAAAGAAACTTCTTGAACCTGAGATGATGCAGTTTTTATTAAGAATGGCAAAAAAAAAGTCTTTCTAATTTATGGATAATAAAGTCACACCTGCTCATAGATTGTGATTCCAGGAGGTTAGGAAAATGGAAGTCTGAAAAGAAGACCTGCAGATCAGGTTGCTTTCAGACTTGCAGACAAAGAAATGGATTAATATAATAAGCATAAAATATATTGCAATTGCAGGGTCAGATTGGCCTTGGCACAATTCCACTGCAGTCAATGGAGTTACAAAAGAGAGTTTAATGTTTATGCTTTTAAAATCTTGTGTTTTAAAGTTGTAGTCTATCTAACCTTCCTTTTTGGCTTAATTTATAGTACCACATACCATGATGACACATGACTATGTATAAATACATAGATTGTTGCAATGACAGAAGGAAGACTAGGGACTCATTACAGCATTAGCGTCTGCCATATCCAAAATAATTAAGAGCTTTAAAGAAACTCTTCTATCACACGGAGTTGCAAACAACAAAAATTGATCCCGATTTTGAATCTATTCACGTAACAATTACTTACTTGGATAGCCTATTAATAAAAATAAAGTTCCAGCAGTGATAATAAGGATTGTTGCAAGCTGACATGTGTGAAAGATCCTTCTTTAAAAAATTTTGCACTTATTCACTATATTGTCTTTGTTCTGGAGAACATCTGACTGTCATGGGTTTTGCTGGGAGAAGTCTTCTTAATTATTTCTTTGAGATGTATATATTTATGTATAAGCTTTTTCTGCAAACTGTAAAATCTTTTCCCTTTTTATTAAAAAATAATCTTATCCTGGGTATATTAAAGGTTTGTCTCATATGGTACAAGAATGTGTAGTTAATGTTCTAAATTTTCAGTTTTTCAGTCTGAATTGACAGACTTCACTCTTTAGGCAAAATGCATTAAATAAAAAACTACAATAACAACAAAACCTCAGAGTTGTTTTAAACAAAGCGCCCCCCCACCCCCAGTCTTATATAACAGATAGATAGAACAAACTGTTTTATAACTTCAAAGTCTTATGCTTTCTGAGTTGGGCTTCCACTACACACTGCCTGACCCTGTGACTGACAGTTGTGCCAGAGAGATTTCTGCTGATCCACTTGGAAATGTCTTAGTAACGCACCACAGGTGGGAAAGCTGCCTGCGTAATGCAGCGCTGGCAATTTGTAATGCTTTTTATCATGTCCATAAAGCCAAATTATCTGTTGTTTCTAAACAGACATTGCTTGTGTCAGTTGTGACTGGAATTCGTAACTATCACAGATGAATTCATCAGCATCATAAATGTAAAAAATATTTACAAGAGAAGGATTTTTTGGAAGTTGCTGAGGAAATGTAGCAAAGACAGAGGAGGGTTTTTTAAATTTATTTGTGTATCAGACCTTAAAAAGATTACTTTTTCAAAGCTGCACTGTGGCTTGCTCCTGGAAGTCTACCTCATATGTTAAGGAAAAAAAAACCAAAACCAATTTTTCTACAGATTATTGTATATTAATTGATAAATCAGGACAGTGAGGATAATATCTGCTAAGGAATAAACAGGCTAGTGATTTCAAAACCAGCAGGTGATTTAGCCATATGTCTTCCATCAGTATAAATATCTCTCCAGAAAATACTGCTGCACTTATTTTCTTCTTCTTTTATTTTTCTCCTGTACAAAGAAGAAATTGACTCTGAAAAGTGGTAATGGAGTAAACTCTGTTTTTTGGGGTTTTTTTTCAAATTTTATTTCTTTAATTGTCTACCAGGCTGTTATCAAGTAATTTGAAATGAGCCATTTGTGACATAGACACTAATAGGAGAGATTGATTGAGTAACATTTATGTGTTGTTCACCCCAGATTAATGAAATGGCTTTTCTGAATAGCTTTCCTAAGGGTCAAATAGCCATTGCCTGCTACAAATCATGCACGCCATATTGGAAGATGAAAAAGGTCTTATAGAAGATTTTGAATTATGGCCCAAAAGTGAATTTATTTTGGAAAGCAGGCTTCAGCTTTAACTACTGAGTATACTCTAGTGCTTCAAGATCTGCCCAAAATTGAGGGGGGATGGGGGAAGCCTTTTTTTGAGAGTATAATCTAGTAAAAATCTTTGTGGTCTCCATTAAAATTTGTAGTGATTAGTGTCCAAAAACCTTGAATTAAAAGGACTGTTCTGTATCAATGAAGATTTTGAGATCTGCATATTACTTTGTGCACATCAATATTTTAACTCATATAACGGCATTTAGCAAAGGATTTCAAAAACGTCTGAGTAAAATTGGTGCAGCATTTTTGGCTATAGGCTGCAGGAATACTGTTAGGGTCATGGTGATAATCTTTCTAAAAGAATTATCCTTGTATTCATTAAATTATATATTAGCAAGGATAATTAGTGGTATAGTTAAAATCCCAATGTACAGAAGAGCAAATGTCAAGTAGTCACAACTGGAAAAGCATTTTCTACTACTTAAGCATAGCCAAAAAGACAGGTATTCTGTTTGATTTGAGATCTGAACTTGCTGTTTAATTTATAAAAATAAGTAGACAAGCCAACATTCCCAAACTGTACCTTCTTCCATGCATGAATAGAGGTAGCTCTTATTTATAGTACTTGTTCAGTACTGAGTACCATTTACAAAGTAGAAGAGGTGTGGGAATGCCTGCAGCAGGAAGTGTGTGTAACAACAAGCCCCAAATGCTGTACACGGTAACATGCCAGAGAGAAAAAGATCACATAATCATAATCATTGCTTCTGAGCTGGAATATGGGTAATGATGTGGTCAACTCAGGAAGGCTTTAATTCTTGTAGGCAGGAGACTGAATGTAAATGTATGTCTGCATGAAGAGGTGAAAGAGTATGATTCTATAATTAGGTATTTTTTCCCAGAAATTTTAAATTCCATCATCACTGCCCTCTCTTGTTTTTCCCCCTTCCTGTGTTGCTGAATTCTATATTGCACACTAATGCTATAGTGGTCAGAGCATGCTGGAAAAAGAATCAGACTTTTGTGGATCCGCTCTCATCATATTCACAACAGTTAATTTTTCATGGTGCTTACTGGAATAATCCCAGCTTTGTAAATTGGATTAATTTAATCAGGTTCTTTACTTTTCTGTGCCAAACTCTAAATGGGTAGAAGTTGCCATAGTCTAATTTTAAAAGATACCATCATCTTTTCATGTCTCCTCATAGTTTATTAGTTAAAGGTACTGCTCTTTTAAAGGCATTTAGTTATGTGCTCTCTGTTTAGAAATTTACTTTCTGCTCAGATGGATGTAGCAAATATCACATGCCATAATTTTGGTTTTTTTTTGTTTTGTTTTTTTTTTTTTTTTTCCTAATGGGACAGTTTTTACCAGAGTTCTTTGGCTGTAGAAATTAAACTTCATGCAAATAGGAGATAAATTTGATTGTAATGCTGACTGCCTAGCTTCTCATCTGCAAGTCTGTCATACTGATTATGCTGTATGGCAAACTGTGGTTTATGAATAGGTAATGCAAAAATGTGTGTATCTTTACAGATAAATAAATAATCTTTCCTGGTGAGTTTGAACTGAATTTGAAACAAAAGCTTCTCAGAATGCAAACATTTCCCAATATTCAGCAGTGTCTTGGCCTCAGTCCTTTGGTTTGAGTTTATACAGATATGAAGTCTCCTTGCAAATCTTGAATTCATATTAACCTAGCATGAGGGCAAGGCAATAACACTTGTTCAGAACCATATCTTTAAGCAGTGTTAACTCATGTGTGCTGAATAATGATGCCCAGTGTGCCAGTGTGCCAATATAAGTGTCTATTTATAAATAAATAAACAAATGTGTCTGTCAGCTGTTGTGTACAGGGAACCCAAACTTCACAAACTATAAATTACCTCATTTGATCACAAAAAGATTCCCTAAATTATTGCATAGTATTGGAGAAGATTTTTACCCTGTTAATATTGGAATATTTATATAAATAGTAAAACTTTTCCCATTCTGTTTTTATGAAGGAAAATCATTGCAGAAGAATAAAAATCCTAGGGGACTGTTACTACTGTGTATCAGGATTGACTCAACCCAAGACAGATCATGCCCATTGCTGTGTTGAAATGGGACTGGATATGATTGACACCATCACGTAAGTACCATGCATGGTGAACCCAGACAGGAGTGCTGCAACACCTCCTATGTTGTGTTCAGGAAGTGTACTCTTAGAAAAACATCAATGTCTGTTAGCACTACTCACTTGACAAGTCACTCTCTTGCATTCAGGCCACAGGACCCTGATTGCAGGAACAGTCACTCTAGACATTGATTTTCCACTCCATTTAATCACTGTAAGTAAGTGTGCAAATTGAGTATGTAGAGGCACATACATGTACTGAATAGGTGGCAGAAAGATAATGGGAAATAAGAAAATATACCCTATTACCTATTGCCACAATGAAAGGAGTCAAATGTCTTGCTTTGCAGTGATAAACACTGCTTATTTTGCACACCAGTATGCAAACTCAAAACCAGTCCTCATGTATGCCTATTGTATATGTTTGCAGTCTCAGAATCATAGCCTGTTGATTATTCCATTTTAATGTCATGTTTAAACCTTTAATTTATTATGCTTTTCAGAAATGTAGCATGACATTTACTTTGCTGCTCAGAGTTTTATTTATGTTTGAGAGGTCTACACTGATCATTATCGTGCCAAGGCAAAAAATATGGATGTGAGAGAACTGTGAATGAGCTTTTAGCTGAAGCTGGAGATCTATTTCATTACATAGGAGGGAAAAGATAAAGATGGAAAATTTCTTCACTACTGTATTGCCCACTTCTCCTTTTCATTTGCTAAACATACTACTAAATCTCTCAGAGCATCAAAAGTTGGGTAAATGAATTATTTTTCTCCCTTATTCAATGCAAGTTCATCACATTTGTAAGCACTGTAAAATTGATAAAATACTTTTTAATCTCTTAATCTATATATATCTGTAATTTATGATAATATATGATAATATATGATAATATAAAAGCCTAAAAGAATATGTGTATTCTTTCAGCAATATATGGATTCTCCATTTATAAGGAAGCGATGACCTTTGGAAACATAATTAGATGTACAGGTCTTGTATACATTTTTCAAAAGCTTTTTGGTTTGTTTGGGTTTTTTTAAAATCCCTGGAAAACAATAGATGATACTCTCACCCTTTTTTAAACCTAGCATTAATCTTTAATTCATTAGTTATCCTGTATTTCATGTATACAAATTAGGTATTAGTACAGATATTGGAACTTTCCTCTTTTGAATGGTTCAGTTTTACTATTGGAAATGAACATGTTCCCTTTTTAGGGTATACTTTATTGTCTACTGACATGATAATGTAAACTTGGAAAAGGAGTTGAATTAGAAAAGAATGAACTGGGGCTGTTCAGCCTGCAGAAGAGAAGGCTCAGAGGGATTCTTACAAATGCAGATGAATACCTAGAGAGAGGGAGTAAAGAGAACAAAGCCAAACTTTTCTCAGTGACATCCAGCACCAGCAGAAGAGGAAATGGGCACAAACTGAAATGTAAGAAATTCAATTTCAATAGAAGAAAAGCTTTTTTTTACTGTGCAGGTAGTCAGATCCTCGAGAGGTTCCACTGAAAAGTTGTGGCATTTGTGCCCTTGGAGAGATTTAAACCCAGCTAGGCACAGTTCTGGACAAACTTCTGTAGCTGGCTGTTCTCTGAAGCAAGTATGTTGGTCTGGATGATTTCCAGAAGCCCCTTGAAGCATCAGCAACTTTGCAATTTTATGTGGATGAGCTGTAGTATATTATCTAGGCATGTTTAGTCACAGGTTCTAGTAGAAGATAACTGGCCATTTCAGGATTTAATTTTTTAAAGAATTCATACATTTTAGGTCTTTTATGTAGTTAGTGGTCAGAGCATGATGAGAGAGCAAGAGGGTAAGAAGCAAGGTTTTAAGACAATCCCAGATCTACTTAAGGTTGTTTGATAGCTAGGGATATATTCTGCATACTTTGTGCATAAGCACAATTAGTCTGTCTCCTTCACAGAAACCAAAGTCAGAAGAAAAGTTCCCCAGACTAATTTGTTTTAAAATGTATTTAGTAAGTGAAAAGGAGAAATCAGTGAAGTTGGAATGAAGTTGGAATGAATCATTTTATATTGTATTGGTATGATTAATAAACTTTGTTTATCAGTTCCATGAGATACGAAGTCATATTTTTTAAACTCCCCCCTTTCATCCACAGGTGGATGCCAGTGGGTAGTCTTTTTAAAGTCTATTCACTTTACTGTAAAATTCAGGTCTTGGCACTGTAAATCTATGCTTGGAATTTGTCATCCCTAGTGATAAGTTTGTATGTTACCCGGGATGAATAAATAAATAAATAAATAAAAACACTTGAACTGTGATTCATGGGATGGATCTGTCAAAAGTGTCCATCCCAGAGATATGTACTAACAAGAGCTGGTTTTTTTTTTTCCTGGAAAATCAAGGAATAGAAACTTCCATGGCTGATTGTTGATTCTGTGATTGGAGTTGAATGTGTTCACATAAACTGATACCCTCCATTCTCTTCATGTTCTACATTACTGTTTTTTAAGTATCCTTCAATATGGTGCTGAATGTATAATCTGAGAACATAATTTTCAAAGTATCATAAAATAATTATGATAATTGTAATTTAATAATAATTATTAAAATTTTCACAATTTCATCCACCTTCCTGAAAGTGTTTTCTTCAAGGGAACAGAACAAAAGCAATTATGGCTTTTTATTCTTAAAAACTGACAAAACAGAGAGTGTTATATTCTGGTTCTATTCCAAAAGAACTTCTGCAGCCATTGTGTCAGTGCCTCAATACAGGCCAGGTGTTTGTTCTACTTTAGAGTCCCTTAAAGTGCTATAGCAATGAGCGAAGCGTTCAATACCACCAATGTTTCTCCTACCATATGAGTTTTGACTCTCGTGCTTTTGTTAGTAATATAATTAAAGTGATCATATTCATTGGTGCCTCTAATATATGTATTTTTCATATATTTTTCTAATGTGGCTGATGTTTTCACCTTGGTTATGAACATTGTGTTAAGTACTCTCTTAACGTTACTTAAATTGATTGCCACATTTGAAAGTTTCATTCTCATGTACTATGTTTTGCCTTCTAACTACATATATTTATTTTCTGACTGCCATATAGAAAAGTTATGTCCAGCTAGCAGAGCTCTTCCCTCCCTCTCTCCTCCAAAAGCTCTCTAGAGTTCTGTTTTAAGTAGGAGTCATGGGGGAAATGTTATACATTCTTACTAGTTTTGTCTTTCCCTAGACAGCACTTCATCAGTAGATACAAACCATATTAAACAATTCTTTGGCTCAGTACAGCAACTTCTCTTAGGAGATGAATTGTGGTGAACTGACACACTTATTTACCTGCATTCAATAATGTTGCAGAGCAAGAGATAATCTGTAATGCGTCCAACTGGAAATAAAGAGAGATTCTGAGTGAGCAGTATATAAATACTATATTTTGGACTGGGTCAAAATACCCAGGTTAACATTCATAAACTTTTCAAAACTTTAATGGAATCCATAATCATTTCTGTCTGCACACAGACAGTACATTTTCATGATGCTTCTTCTGTTAGCACATTACTAGGATGTCATTTTACTACTGACTCAGTGGGAATTGAACCACTAGCTGCATCACTGGCTGTGTGTAGTAGCAGGAAGCATGGCACAGTAGGAGCACATCTGTGGATCACAGCAACTGCTGGTGACTATTTTAGTTCAACCTACATGTACTGTGGTGAGGACTTTAGAATAAGTCTCATCTGACCTTCTGACTGAATCTTGCTGCTGCATGTGGGCTTTGAGGAGGTCTGAAGGAAACTGAGGTCCATGAACTTCTTCAGAACTGGGCAACACAGTGGGGTTTATCAGCTATTTTCTGTGCCACATAGGTGATTTTATCCTGAATGGATCACTCCACCTAATCTGAATGACTCCACCAGTCATCACGTAAAACCTCACAGATAGAAGCTGGGCTTATTTGCATCTGGGGAGGTTTTTGCACTGGAAAGGTTGATGCTCGAACTATCTCCTTTCAATGGGTTTCATCTTTGGCTGGCCAAAAGCACCAGGAAAGGGAGAAGAACTACAGCAGACCATTTGCATAAGTTCAGTGGAAATATTAAGTTTTCCTGTGTGATTTTTGCCTGAAGAAATAGACAGAAGCATTAATTTCCCTAATGTCAACACTCTTGACACTTTTTCCCTGGTCATCCAAAAGTGAATTGATGTAAAATTTTTAGAGACCAGCAGCTGCATTTTTAAGAAACTGTCTACCAATGGTAAGAGCTTCATGAGCTCATACATCTGCTAGAGCAACCCGGGAGCTCTTCAACAGCCATGTCTCTCTGTTCTAGTGCTCTGCTGCAGCTGAGCAATACTCAGAAAAGTCTATGTAGTTCAACCAAAAATCATATCTATGCCTTTGAACAGGAAACGTTCATTTCTGCAGATATTTTTAGACCTAAGGAAAAGACCTAAGTAATTATAAGAAGTGGCATGCAGAGTTTTTTTGTTTCCCTCCCTCCTCAGGAGCACAGGTCGGGAACTGTTCTACAGGTAATCTAAATTACTTTCATGGCTTGTAGCAGCACATAAAATACTTGTAGTTAAGGAGGGAACTAAAATGTAAAGGCTTTGTAGGATACTTGAGGTGTCAGGGTAGATGATTTTTTTATTAGTCAGTTCCTTAGACTCTGAACACAATTGGTTTAAAAAGAAAGTGGTTTATTGATTTCCATTTGTTTCTGGGCCTACTTTTATGTTAACATTTGGAAAACTTAAGTATAAGAACCTATGAGACAATAAGTAATAATGAATAATTTATTTGAGAAACTCCCTTTTCCTGTTCCTAGCTTGTTTGTGAAGTGCTGATATTTTCTCAGAAATGTATTTATAATTTAAAATACCTCACTGAACATTTTTGTGATATTTTATTGTAAAAATGTTGATGTTGTTTAGGAACATGATCATTGTACTAGTCTGAATTTAAATTTGAGGCCTCTTCTTTATATATTACCTAATATTCCTCATTTTTAATAGTTCACTGGGGTTTATTTAAAGAAATTATCTGCATGAAGAGCACAAAGGCCTACAAGATAAACTCAAAAAATGTAATGAACTTCTCATGAGCTTTTTTTCCCCTACTCAAATTTCATAATGATGAAAGCATCTCTGAAACACATTGTACTTTCTGGGGAAGATGTAGAAATGTATTCTCAGCTTAGATTTTTGACTAAGTGACTATTTATGGAAAGTTTTTGCTCAAAACATAAAGTGGTTTCAGATTCTGCTTTATGTTTCATTGATGCATTATACAGTTCAGCTTATTTAACAAGGAGTATGGTCAGCCATGTTATATTTCTCTGCTCATGTTTTTTCATTTACTTTTTGTTACTCTATTGACATTTCTAAAAGGAGATTAAATTTACCCCAGTCAGATAAAGCAATGTCAAAGCCTTGAGTGAACTTTATCAGTGTCTAGATTTCACTGTCTTTCCACATACGTTTAGTCTGAGGTTTTATATACTTTTTTAAATGGAGGAGGAGGGAAGGAACCAACAAAAAAAAACCCCACACTCATCTGTAAACAGAGAAACTCAAACTTGTTTGGATTTATTAATTAAGATTATTACATAGGCTTTTAATTGTACAGGGGAGTATAGGCAGGCAAGGTGTAGTCCTGAAGGGCTCTGGCTCACACGGTGTGGGCTTTGTGTAAGGTCACTCTATTAATGACGCAATAAGCATGCTCAGGTGAAGATAAAAACTGTGGTTGCTTATTGTTGGGTAGCTTATGGTATTAGGGTCTTTCATTTCCTCAAAGATCTGTCAAACCGTGTGCACAACAAAGCCTTGTAACGCTAGACTCCTTTTAGGACTCCTTGAAATCATATTCAAGGCTTGACTGGGAGCAGACTGAGTAAGGGAGAGCTGACTTGCAGTGAGTAGGAATAGGACGAGGAAATATTTCATCTTTCAGAAAGCTCTGCATAAGCCTTTCTGTGCTGTTGCATAGAATATGACTGAAAAATGTGTTATGCCAAGATTCCCTGTGAGACAAAAGAGATCTCCATGCTACTGAGTGATTGCTGACATGGAACATACCTTCACAGGTGAAGAATTTCTTATTTAAATTGAGGCCAGGTATCTTTACTGCACATCTCACATCTTGATCTATGCTGACCTTTCTGTTAATTTTATTTAAACAAGTACAACTTCTGAAATAGTTGAAAAGTTTTTCTAAAGGCATCTCTGCAAAATCCAGTGTAACTGGATGACACCTGAAAAAAAATTTGGTCAATGAAGGCCAAGGGAAAATGATAGCTAGAGTCCCATTTTAAGGTCTTTTTCTATTAAATACATTGGAAAATTCAAATTAGGAAAATCAAGTGAAAATAAATTCTTACAGTGATAGTTGGTTTTCTTTATTCAGAGATAATATCACTATTTGGATAGCAACTGGACTGTGGAATGACAGGTGTTTCTCTAACACAAAGAGCTGAAAAAAATCTATGTACAGTGTTATTAAATAACATGTAATATTTAAGACTGTTAGCTTCAAGGTGCCGTTTGAGTGTGCACAACTTTGTGCTGTGCAAATCATAGCATGCCTTTCATTCACAGAAATGAAGAATCTTTCCTTACTGTACCACCAAAAAAAGTATTATTTTAATAACAATTTTGCAGAATAATTCATTCTTTACCAGCTAGGCAGTGAAAATCTCTGAACATTAGATTTAATTTACAGGTGTAAGACTAGTCACAAGTTGTTTCAGTGCCACTCTTACAGGAGCTTAGGAACAATATTAGTGTTTTGTCTCTGCTGCTCTTACAATGATTTATGACTTTTGTCATTTTCTTTGTCCTGTACTCTAGTAACTGGGTAATTGAACCAATTAGAACATAGTAGATTGGGAATAATTATTTATACATTGGCAACTCAATTAGTGCTTCTTTTCTCACAGAAATGGTCAAGAAATTTAGAAATATATTTTGGTTCAATATAATATTGAAATATTATTGAAATAATATTAAAATACAACCAATAATTTTTTTTTTTTTTTGTAATTGCAATTAGGGATTTGAAACTAGTGAAAGTAGAGAATAGTACCTGAATATACCATTTCAGGTTTTATAAGACCCTTTCTCTTCAGTCATATATAAATATATGTGTTAATTTTGGGAGGAGAGAAAATGAAAAGCAGTCATCATCTAAATATTAATATTCTGATGCTGTCCATTACAGATCTGTTGCAGAAGCCACAGAGGTTGATCTCAACATGAGAGTTGGATTGCATACAGGCAGGGTTCTTTGTGGGGTCCTGGGTCTCCGAAAATGGCAATATGATGTCTGGTCAAATGATGTGACATTAGCTAATGTAATGGAAGCTGGAGGACTGCCTGGGTAAGTCTGAAAAAAAACCATAGCAAAAAAAAAAAAAAAAGAAAACTCTATGGGTGAAGAATTTCTTCAATTTTTTAAGGCATTTGCAATGTAATTGCTATTGGTGAAAACGATTGTGTTTGGCAAGACGAATCAATGTATTATGTGATTAATCCTGTAGAACTTTCAAAATGATCTTGATATTTGTATAAGTAATTGGTCAGATTAGAAGTAAAACATTTTCAAACAAAATCATTTTTAGAAGTTGCCAAATATAAAAAGCAGGAATGACACAATACTAGGAATATAAGAATGCTAGACTGTAAGAATGCCTTTCTCCTTTTACATGATCAGATTTCCAATACTAGTTGTGTGGTATAGAAAATACATACCTATTTATGAACTCAAATATTGATGACATTTGCAAATGATACAGTAGCACATAAACTTGCAACCAACCCATGGGGCATGTCCTGGAACTTTAAGTACTCATTGCACAGCCTTGGACACAATTTAAATGCACACAGTGAGCATTTGCAAAGGTGCATGGGTGTTCTGTGTGTAGCTCACATTTGGACTAGGACCTGCCATATTCTTCTTTTTTTTATTTTTGTGAGATCTTGGTTGCTGTACAGGAGGACAAAGAAACCAATTAATTTTTTTTGGTAATGATGAATTTCTGCTTATTGCGTACATCTACTTTAGATAATTTTGGCAGTGTATTTTATGTGTTCATTATCTTAAAGTTACCCAGTGGAAAGAATCTGAATACATGTTTATAGAGGAAAGCAGTAAAATTTTTTCAAATACCTTTTCTGAAGACATTTGAAATATATGGGGTCTTTCAGGAGAAAATGTGAAAACATGTTCAGGATAAGAAAACTCAAAAAAAAAAATTTAAAGATTGGTATATTGCCAAAACAAATTAGGTCAGAAAGCTGCCTACAATACAGAGTAGATAAATTATATGAGTCAGAGATGTGCAGTGAAACAGAAAAAGAAGTTTCTGCTTTATACACAAGAGAGGTTTGGAGTGTGATGTCACAAGTTTCAAACAGCAGGATGTTTTTCCAAGCAGCCATTGAGGTAAAAACTTAAGAAAGCCACACAATGTAGAAGATCATGTGAGGACGCTCACTTTCTACAAAACAGCAAATCTGCAAGTGTTTGCATAGTCAACTGTTATCTTTTTGTTCACTTTGCCTAAGTTTAGAAAATGCATGTAATAGAATTGTTTTCTATGTTCAATTTGGCTAAAAGTAGAAAACTTTTTTTTTTTTTTAACATCACACCTATGGTCTTGCATGTAAATTGACCTGTTGATCTCTGTATGAACTTCTGTACTGGAGTATATTTTGGTAGCAAGTAGCTCATAATGTATGTTTGCTTTAAACAATAATGTCTGATTTTCTCTCCAGGAAAGTTCACATTACAAAGACCACCTTAGAGTGCCTAAATGGGGACTATGAGGTAGAACCAGGATATGGTCATGAAAGGAATAGTTTCTTGAAGAAGCATAATATTGAAACATATTTTATTGTGCCATCCCATCGTAGGAAGGTATGCTTATTCAATAATACATTTTCATAATGTAAATAGTAAAAATTGTTCTGAGCTATTCTGAAGGCAGAGAAAATGCTAGGTTGTTTCATTGGAATTTTTTTTCCTTGGAAGCTCTTCAAACACTCTTGAAGGCCCAGCCCTGCAATGGTAACATTTTGAGTCTCAGCATGTGGTGAGGTGGTGACAGTGGTTTTCCAACGGGTGCAACTATAGTCACACCTTTCCTCCTCAGCCGGTTACTGAGTGCAGCCTTTTGTTCTACTGAAAAATGTTACTTGTGACCTCAGTAGAAGTCTTGAAAGACCATAAATGTTGTTTAAATGCTTACAATTTGGTAAACTTTTTCCACATCACATGAGGTTTATCTTTGAAGTTATCTATCATAACGTGATAACAGGCCAAGAGGAACTTTATTGCCTTTCATGTCAGCCAGAGAATTTGGGATACAGATTTTTGCACCCTTCACTTCTGAAACTGTGCAAATAAGTTTAATTCAAGGATTTTACCCTTCAAGGGGAAAATTGTAGTACCTAATTCTGAAAGTATTGGTCAGGTTTTAAAGTGATGTGTTTATACACACCAGGTTTCTAAGCTGTCAAAACTCCATATTTGAGGGTATTAACCTGTCATGGTTTGACTTGGAAAAAGAATCTTTTCGGAAGGAAGAGGTCAATTTGGATATTGACCAATTGAAGGTGGACACACCTCTGAGAACACAGAGGGGTTAAAAGCAGAATTCCCAGGAGAACTCTCTCCCTTTGGTTCCAGTCAGGGTGCAGTGCACCCTGCCCGGCCCGTGGCTGGGTGGAGGAGGGGAAGGCCTGACTGAGGTACACCTAAGGGCCTGGCCCCTTGCAGATGGAAGGGTGGACAAATCTGGGATGTCTGCGTTCCCGCCCCCTCCCACTCCCCCCTCCCCCCCCCCCCCCCCCAGAGTCTCTGTCTCTAGAGAAAGAGACAGTGGAGGCTTGTCAGCAGTACACCGCGGGGAAGGAGAAGAGCGGGGGTGGGGGTGGGGGGTGGGGGTGGGCCCCACAAGGCTGCAAGGTGTCCAGCCGCTGTGGAAGCTGGAGCCTGGGCAGAGCCAGCCAGGGAGTCAGGACTTGAGAAATGAAAGCTTTGTGAAATTTTCCTCCTCCTCAGTTTGAAAGAGAGGAAGAGAGACAGCCTGGACCCTGGGATGTTAGAAGGAGAAATTCTAGCGGGGAGGAGATGATGGAGTGGCTTTTTGGCTGGACTTTTTCTTGTTAGCCACAGACTGCACTAATCTTCTCCTCCAAAAGAGACACTGTATTTTAGGAGGATGCCAGTGACCCAAGAGACCTGTTTTAGCAGCTGGGAAAAAACAGAAGCGGAGCGAACAGAGAAAAGTTAGGGAGGTTTGTGGTGGTGCCCCCTGTCTTCAGAAAAGAAGAAGAGAAGATTTCTGTTCTTGGATCCTCGGCCCCAGGGGGAAATGGGGGGGACTGTTGGTCCCAAAAATGAAAAAATGGAACTGTTGTTTTTTCCCTCTTGGCAGAGCATCCTTGAAAGAAAAATCCTATGAGCACTCTGTCCATCCATGCATTGATGGTGAGAGCACTGTGCATGGAAAGGAGTGTTACACTGGCAGATTTTCTCCGGGCGGTGCCATGTGTGACATGGAAGCACAGGATGTGGCAGCTGTGTTTCTTGGGGGGTCTGTGGCACAGGAGAGACTCCTCCCTCCCTCGATGGACTGAGTATTGATTATCTGGAGGGTGGCAACCTGATTGGGGTCCAGGCTGTGTCTCACTGTGGTTCCTTGGAGTTGGGTGTTGGGAGGACGAATGTTTTGAAAGGTTTTCATTTTGAATTTTGTGTGTGTTTTTTTCTTTCTTTTTTCTTTTATAATAGTATAGTAGTAGTAGCTTAATACAGTTTCTTTCCCTTGTTATTAAGCTTGGGCCTGCTTTGCTCTGTTCTCGATCGTATTTCCCAGCATTCAATTGAGAGGTTACATTTTCATGGGGGTGCTGGCATTGTGCCAGTGTCAAACCATGACATAACCATCAAGTATCTGAGAAAAAAATAGCCACAAAGAAACAGGTTATCTTGAATTTCTTATCTCCGATCAATTTTTTGGTCTTAATATGATGACTGTGAGTTTTTATGAAAATGTTGGGAGTCCAGTCACCAGGGTAATTTGATTCTGGGATTGAAAATCCCATTGTTTTATTCTGGAAAGGCTGCTGCAAGAGTGATTTTATGCACTTCCTCTAAAGCATATTCTTATTAGAGAGATGGAGTTTTCTCATGCACTTGAAAATCATGCAATTTCACATTTTGTTTCTCTGGTATATATTATTAAATTCAGTTTTAGATAACACGAAACAAAACAGATGAGAAAATGTGGGTTAAATTCTGTTTTGGCAGTGAGTGAGAGTGGTTTTTGGTGGCTTTCTTGAAATCAGGACTAGCATTTTTTAGGAAATCAGTATTTCCTAAATTAATCAATGCCAATAAGGAAGAAAATGCAAGGGAGAGTTTTTTCAAGGTAGGTGCGTTGCTTATTGCTGCTAGATTGTCTTAGTTTTCTATTTTCACTCCTTCAGCATTATGTATAATTTCATTTTTGTGTTATAATGTATCAGGTTTCATTTCATATTGAGGAAATAAATAGTGGAATTTCAGGAAATTGTTGCATAGGTTGGTGCAAAAAGACAAGGAGAGACAAAAGGGAATTAATGTGACTTTTACAAAGAGAAACTGTGTTGTGTCAATTCTGCTACAAAAACCAGCGACTGAGGAACTTGACAATCATATGGAAGGAAGCCAGGTCAATGCATGTTTAATGTGCAAGAATGAGAATGTACTGCTGTGAGAACACACATTTCTGTGTCTTTGCAAGATTGCTGAGAAGTTGCTGGTGATTGCTGAGAAAGGACTGCTAGGTTTGTCATCAGCTACATAAACCCAGATGCCATCTTACCCATGGGTGTCACTGATGAGTGTGTGGCAGATGCTGCTCCACAGCTCAACTAACAGTAGCTCTCTGGCATGCATCAATGACATGTCAGCCAAGAAAGAAACACTTCATGAATTTTACTGGTGTTGACTGGTTTCTCCACTGGCCTCACAGGTCAGTCAGTGTGCCACTTTGCTGTTTGTCACAGTCCATCACAGCCATCTCCAGTCTTTGTATATTTGCATACTGATCACTGGCCACAAGCTGCATAATAGCATATTTGCCTTCTAAATAAACACCTGCTGTTCCCTTCTAACCCAATTCATTCATTGTCTCTTTAAAGACATAAAAATAGAAGGCTACCCATGAAGCACAGACAAGAGAGTTTCACCTGGTGAATTCAGGTATCTTCTGGTTTAATATTGCATTCCTTCCTCTTGAACCTCAGCAGCTGAAATGCAGGGTTTTTTCTTTATATATAATCTCTGACATTAACATGAGCTGCCTCAGGCAGATATGATACCAAGTGGAATGAAAATAAATGTTATGAGCAACAGATGACCAAGAATATGTTGGATTTGAAGCAAAAATAAGACCACTTGGAGTTTTGTTAAACCTTATTTCTTTAGAAGACATATGCCCCACATTCTTCTATATTTGGTCTGACAGGAAAATTTTTCATCACTGTCACTCTAGCCAAGAATGATAGTAACAGTGTAAGATTACTTATTCATGTATCAGTTACATTTTAAATATGAACAAATTATAAATTATTACCATCTTATAATCTTCTGTTGAATCAGCTAATTTTTGTGATCTGATCTGCTTGCTGGTTAAATGTGAGAGCACCACTAAGCAGCCATTGAAGGAATATTTTTTTGTTGTTTTGTTACCTGGGGTTTTTTTTGTAGACAATATATTACTCTATTATTATCTATTAGTCTATGCAGTCAACAGCTTATTTTCCACCTGGAGACCAGTGAAAAGTGGTGTTCCACAGGGGTCAGTGGTGAGGCCAATACTGTTCAGCATCCTTGTCAATGACATGGAAAGTGCACCCCCAGAAAGTTTGCTGATGATACCAGGCTGCGTAATGTAGTCAACATGCTGGAAGGAAAGGATGCCATCTAGAGGGAACTGGGCAGGCTTGAGACGTAGGGCTGTGTGATCCTCATGAAGCTCAATAAAACCAGTGACAGCTGGGTCAGGGCAATCTTAGGTACACCTACAGGTTCATGAGAATGAATGAGAATACCCTATGGATAAGAGCTTGGGAATGATGGTTGATGAAAACTCAACATCAGCTGGCGGTGTGTGGTCACAGCCCAGAAAGCCAACAGTGTCCTGGGCTGCCTCAAAAGTCAAAGGAGAAGATCATACCCCTCCACTCTGCTCTGTAAGACCCTGCTTGGAGTACTGTTTTGATACCTCCACCATAAGTACAAGGAACTGTTGGAGCAAGTCCAAAGGAAGACCATAAATTGACAAGCAGACTGGAGCACCTCCCCCACAAAGACAGGTTGAGAAAATCAGGGCTCTTCAGCCTGGAGAAAAGGTTATGTGCAGATATCCCAGCAATTTCCAGTATGTAAAGGGGGCCTACAGACACTTCAGCAGGAACTGTAGTGATAGGACAAGGAGTAATGGCTTCCAACTGAAAGAGAGTTGGTTAGTTGTTAGAAAGAAATTCTTTACTATGAGGGTGCTACAGTTTGCCCAAAGAATCTGTGCATGCCCTAACCCTGAAAGTGTTCAAGGCCAGTTTGGATGTGGCTTTAAACAACCTGGTCTAGTGGAAAGTGTCTCTGCCTATGGTAGAGGTTTGGAACTAGATGATCTTTAAGGTCCCTTCTAACCCAGACCATTTATGATTCTATTATAATTGTTATTATTAAGTAATATTTATGCATAATTGACTGGATTACATTGAGTTCCTAAACACACTTATATAATGTATGTGATTTCTACAGGCAGAATTTTTTTAATTAAAAGAATCTTTTCTGCTGACTTTCATAGTTAAAAACTAATGCAAATGTGCTTTTTTAATACATGTTCCCTGATACATACCTGG